TGTTACCCTTCCCTAAACAACCTCGTGTAACAACTGTTGGTTTATGCAGTACTCACACCATGTTAGGGTTATCGGTAACCAGAGACCACGTAAACTACAGCAGTATGTACCCGGGTTTCCCAATGCCGTCCTACCCGAGTGGCTTGGGATCTGGTGTCCTCCCTGCTTCCTTCAGTCCTGACTGCAGCAGCAAGGGCCTCGTTTTCAGACACAAGGAAATAGACGCTCCGAGAGGTAGTGTAACCCGTCCCAGGTCACCCCTGTTCGGACTGTCTGACGTTAGAGCCGCTCCTCCAAATACCGCAGCGTGCTGTCTGCTCCAGTGACCTCCGTGTAGCGGCTCCCAAGCTTCCCTGGATCCTCTGCTCATACTTGGAGTTTTGCTAAAACCCTCTCAGCCCCTTGGGCTTAAAGTGTCAGTTCTAAACAAATTACTCAGCTGTACATTATAAACTGCAACCACGAGCCTCACTGTTAGATAAGGGGACATCCCAAGTGTCTTAAATGTGCTTAAAATACCAAATGCACCTGGGTTTCTCCTCGGCTTGCTGGTTGGGCATCCCTGATCCAAAAATCCAGAATGCTCCAAGGAGTAAACCTTCTGAAGCACAAACATCCCAGCACACGTGGAGAATTTCACACCCAACCTCGTGTCAAAGGTCGCAGTGAGGACATAGACACACCAACACCGTCACGTGGGATCACCGCCAGTGTGGAGAGGAGTGCATCTGTGCCGCTGGTGTGTTTTATCTAGAGCTGGGGTCCAAGATGGCTCACTGTGTGTGTATGGATATTCTAGAATCCTGCAGTCTGAAATCTGAAATACTTCCAGTCCCAAGTGTTTCAGATAAGGGAGTCAGCTTGTAGGAGGAGTTTGATTAACTTCGTTATCTGCGTACTCAGAGGCACCGAGTCACCGCTGCGCTTCATTCTGATTCTGTGTTTCTGAATGTCCCCTGATAAAAGCACCCTTCTCACTCAGTACACACTGCTGGGCACCCTTTCCATAGAATCGGGGTGACGGGTCTGCTGGATGAGGTGCATGTTGGCCAGGGACCTGGGGCCTGGAGCCACCCTGGTCCCGGAGACCAGTAGTCTGTCTCAGGGAACTTGAGCTCCCCGCATGTCCCCAAGTCTCACAATGGGCCTGCCACGTGAGGAGGGCTCACCTAACTGATTTGCGGCATGATTCTGTGTCCCATACCTCAGGCTAGCACCCTTAGTGTGGTGTACAAGCGCTCCTTAGTTGGGTCCTCACCTGTCGCCTGGCTGTCACTAACAATCGCACGACTTCGCTCATGCTGCGACTCTTGCTGCGCCCCCTCCCCCTTTCCCTGTCTTCCTGCTTCAGGCGTAACCAGACCTGGCTGGTGAGCTTTGCACCTGATCCCGGAGGTGTGCACCCCGGTGCGGAGCAGCGCCCTGCTGTAGACACTCGTCCCAGCTGTCCCTCTTGTCGGGAGGGGAGGACAGTTCTCAGAGACAAGGACGGAGTGGAGATGCGGCGTGGAGAAGGGGTCAGAATTAGGAGATCACATCATTCAGGGGGCTCTTCATCGTCGGGGACACCAGGCGACCCTGGGGTGGCCGAGGACTCAGAGCTGTGAAGGTGTGAGGAGGCCGGGAGGGGAGGCTGAGGCTGGACAGGACCTCAGGCCCAGACCCTGCCCGCTGCACCGAGGAAGAGGTACTTTTCTAAACCGTGTGCCCCTGCTCCATCCGTCCTTCTCTGAGCTTAGCTCCTCGCCGCTGGCCAGCTGTGTCCACACAACGCTGCTCGTGTCCTCCTGCTGGACATCCCGAGCTCCCAGCACCGGCAGTGCCCGCTGCGGCCCCTCCGCCGTGCGCTCGTTGGGCACAGAGGCCCCATGACGGCGACAGTGTGCCGTTCGTGTGGAGACCCAGTTTCTAGCTCCATCCCCTCCCTCCGGGGCAGGCGCGAGGATCCGCGTTAGAGCCGGGAGCTGAGCTGGGGGGACAGGGCTGAGACTCCTCACACTCACTGACCGCTGGGGACAGGACCGTGCGTGTATTCTCGGGTTGTGGTATCAGAGTCGGGTGAGACCTCGCTCTCCTCCCGGCTTGGTTCGGCTCAGTCCCTGGGTCAAGACAGTACCTCTGCCACGTTTTTGCTGTTGTTGTTGAGACAGAGTTTTGCTTTGTAGTCCAGGCTGGCTTTGAACTCGCCGCGCAGCCCACCTTGGCCTCAAACTTCGGCGGCAATCCTGCCTCAGCCTCCTGAGTGCTGGCTGTGAGTCTCAGGCGTGAGACGTGGGTCTGGCTCCTGACCTGGGCGCCGTCCACCCGGGAGCTCCTGGCTTGGGGCTGGCTCTCGCTGCCTGTTTCATCATTGCCGCTGGAGACGTGAGTGGCCGTCCCCACACTGGGCGCCCCCAGCTGAGGCGGCCACAGGGCTGGGGCCATGGGCAGGGTGCCTCGCGCTGTGTGGACGGGGACACGGCAGGTCTGCAGTGAGCATGGCCTTCCTGCTGTGCTCCTGCTCGGGGTGGAGGGCGCTGTCCCTCTGTCGCCGAGAGACCCATCGTCCTTGCGTGGAAAGGGTGGAAGTCCTTGTCCACAGGGAGCAGTCCTTCTGTCCTCGTGCGGTTCTGACGCCTCTGTGTCATCGTGAAGGAGAGGCGCAGCGCAGCGGCCTCAGTTGGGTCGGCTGAGCCCGACAGTGCGGGAGATGAAATCCAACCTTTGCCGGAGCTGGAGACAAGCGGCTTTCTTAATAGTGGCTGCTCTGTCTGCCAGCTTGGAGACAGTTTAATGTCCTCAGTGCCTCTTCCCTCTCCCCGAAGTCACGTGGTTGGGCACGGCTGCTCCTGGTAATGTTTTCAGATGGGCTTCAGGCTGCGGGCCATAAATGACGGCTTGGGCTCCTACTGGGGACAGAGCTTTTCTGGGCTGAGAGCTGCATCCTGCGGCTCCCTTTGCCTTTGACAGGCCCGAGCCCGGCCTGTGCAGCTGACCCGGGGTCCCGCTCCTGGCTGCAGCCTCAGGCCGTCCCGCGGCAGCAGAGGGTGTGCAGGGTTGGGGGTGTTGGGGGCAGAGACTGTGGGGGCTGGAGCACCCTGGGATTTCACAAGCTCGTGAAGAAAGCTTCCAGGCCTGTGGTTGGCTGCTCTGTTTCCCTAATGAAGAGCTCGTTGGAATAATATTTTATTAGTCTGCGTCTCTTACTGCCTATGCCAAGACACACGTCAGCCTCGTTTGCAAGCTGGTCTGAAACCAGAGAACCTCGCGTGGAGCTTAGAATACGGGAATTAAAACATGCGTCTGTAATAAGTTGAAAAACAGTGGGTAGGTCGCCAGGAATAACATAAACTTGCTTTTAAAATTAACTTCTAAGGAATTTTACTTTAAAAAACTAATCTAGAGCCCTCTAATAAGCTACCTGAAGCAGTGGTTTTGGCCGGCGGGTTTTGCACTTGCTGGGTGTGCCTGTAGGGTGATCTCTTCCCTCAGGACCTGCTTGCAGTTACGGTCCTCCAGTGCACGCAGCACCTCTTTCTTTTTTTTTTTTTTTTTTTTTCTCTGGTACCGGGAACCGAACTCACGACCTTGCGCATGCTAGGCAGGCGCTTTTGCCGCTGAGCTAAATCCCCAGCCCCTAGCACCTCTTTCTTTCAGTACCCCATCTCTTGCTTCCTTCCCTTTTGCAAAAGATCCATTCCCCCGTTTCCTGCTGTCCACCTTTTACTTTGCCCTTTACTTTGTTCGTATTTTTGGTTTCTCATATAAGAATTCTCCTGCCGCCAGGGCTCCCTGGCCCCCGGGTGAGGCCGCCTGTCACCTGCCCACTGCCCGAGGCTCCAGAACGCAGGGATGCTTTCCCCTGGAGAGGGTGGGAGGTGTCCCCAGAGCCCGTCTGTGCCAGACTTCACCGCACGCCCCAGAGGAAACTCTCAGCTGTTTTTCTGCAAGGCAGGGGGGAAGCCTTGAAACCACGTGGCAGCACCGGCCAGCCCACCCTGCAGCACGTCACAGCGCTCCCTCTGGGAACATCCCCGGGGTCAGGTGGGATGGGTATGAAATTTGCTCAGGTAACATAGCTTTAAACATTTGGGGGTTTTCACATGCAAAAGACACGCTGCCTCACTAAAAGCGTCTCCCTGAAAGTCAAATCTAGGGCCGGGATGCAGCTCTATGGCACAAGCACCTGCCTGGCAAGCGCACGGTTCTGAGTTCAATGCCCAGTACAAAAGCAAAGTCAAGTTTATTTAAAAGCGAGAAAAAATTGTACAATTAATGTTGTGTTCATAGTTGTTTCCTAAAAATTTCATCCAACCTTATGCTCTCCGGAGACTATGTATTTGCCCCTTTTCTGCTTGCAGTTTTGAAGGATTTGGTGCATTTCATCCTTACCTTAGCATTAGTTGGAGAGAATCACCAACTGTTGGCTATTTCAAGGCATATTTATCGTATCAATTTTTACTATACAGTAAGTTACATTATGTATTAGCTATCTGGATTTTTGGTTTTTGTTTTTTTGCAAAAAAAAGGGTTTGAACCGAGAGCCTTAGCACTGAGCTGTGTCCCCAGTCAGTTTTTATTTTTCAGTTTGAGATAGGCTCTTGCTAAGTCAATGATTTCCTCATCCTGGGCTCAAATTTGTGATCCTCCTGCTTCAGCCTCCCAGAGTGCTGGGACTGCAGGGGTGCACCAGCACAATTGGTTTTCGCCATGCTTGGTTTTTAGGCATCTTTTCTGGAACCGAATACTCTTCTGTTAACTTCTTGGCCAGTGAATAAAGCCATTCTGTTGGGTGACAATATTTTCCCCTGCTCTCCGTTGCAGTGGGAGGTAAAAACCCCTTGGGTATCTGAACAAGAGTGACAGAGGAAACCAGGGTAATTGAGCTCCCCACTTCCATTTTAAGACTGACCTTTAACTTGCTAGGAGGCCTGGGGCGGCGTTTGTGGCAGATGGCCATCTCAGTGGGGAGTGTCCAGGGCCCTGGTTCAAGGCTGACGGGAGCGGCTAGAGCCGCACCAGGTGTCTTGTTTGGGAACCTGTGTCTGGGCTCCTCCGCTGCCCAGCCTGGGGCAGAACCTAACAGCCACCCAGTGTCTGTCTGTGCCCGCAGGGTCCAGCTCTCTGGGGCTGCCTCTGCCCTAACGGGAGCCAGGCAGAAGCTGCTGCAGGACAGTGGCTCAGTTATATGGGTGGAGGCACCCTGCACCGGGCAGCTTGCAGGACCTGCTTTGCGCGCAGGTGCCGGTGGGTGTGTGGCCTGCGGTGACCTTGTCCCCAGCAGGAGGAATTAACTGATCTTTCTCAGCAAACCCCGTGGCCCCGGCCAGACCTCCATGTAGCTGCAGCTGCAGGTTGGACGGAGGATCGGGGTCCCCTTGCTGAGCCGGGGGTGGACATGCACCATGAGTGACTTTGAAGAATGGATTTCTGGGGCGTACAGGAAGGTGGACGAAGGTCCCCTCCCGCTGCTGACGTTCACCACAGCCCCCTACCACGACCAGAAACCTGGAACCAGTGGGCTGCGGAAGAAAACCTATCATTTTGAGGAGAAGCCATGCTACCTGGAGAACTTCATCCAGAGCATATTCTTTTCCATAGACCTGAAAGATCGCCAGGGCTCCTCCCTGGTGGTCGGCGGAGACGGGCGGTATTTTAATAAATCGGCCGTGGACACCATCGTGCAGATGGCAGCCGCCAACGGGGTTGGTATCGATGCGTGTTGTCCGTCCCTGGCTCTCTGCGCGACCTCCTTGCTTTGCAGACCCCTGCAGCTGTACACAGATGTGTGCGGGGCGCGCCTGGCTCTCCCAGCGTCCACTTACCCCTCATGTGACTTCTGGGACCGTGTGCTGGGAAATCGCTCCAGACCCTCCGGAGTCACCGTGGCATTTGGGCGTGGTGGTTGTGCTCCTCCCTTGCTTGAAAAGTGCCTTTTAAAAGCGCACCCTGGTCTCAAGCTTTTGTCTCTCCACCCAACTTGGGGTGCCCTGGCCTGTGTTGGGGTGGTGGTGAAGAGGGGGCGTGCTGCTCTTTTGAGGCTTCCTTTCGTTACTGAAGTGCAGTCTCTTGTCAGAGAGGAAGACAAAAGCCAGGCCTGCTGTTGTGTGGGGAGCTGTAGGAGAGCAGTGCCAGCAGGGATTGCAGAGTGCTAGGTGTGACCCTGCCAGGGCAGCGTTCATCATGACCTCAGCCACGAGGAGCCTGGGTGCGGGAGTTTGCGGCGGAGCAGAGGTAGTAACTTCTGTGAGCCCGCACCGCGGGAGGTGCTGCCGGTGAGAACTGGTGCTGGCGGACTCAGCAGAGCGCTTGGAGGACAGAGGCAGGCCGTGCTGAGCCTGCTGCCCTAGCGCTGGCCGCCTTCCTGTGGGGGGGTGTCAGGCATTGCTGGTTTTCCTCTGCAGACTTCCCTAGGGACCCAAACGAGAGAACAGCTGAGGCTGCTTCCAGCACTTTTAGATCACGCTTAGCAAAAACGTGGAGTTCGCAGCCCTTCAGTACCTGCATGTGATCAAGTCTGTCGTGTTTCTGGAAGAAACTCTGGCTGTGAGGACATAAAATCCCGCCTTGCAACCGACTGCGTTGGGTGTTCGTTTCCAGCCTGTTTTATTCCTGTGCCAGGCATGTGCGTTTGCAAAAACCAAATTAAAAAGGAAAAAAAAAACCAAAAACCCGTGAAGTGAAAGTAAAAGAAAAAGCGTTTGTAGCTCCTGTTGTTCATAAGGTGAGATTTCCTTGATACCCAAGTTGAGGATCCAAATGCCTCTCACGTAGAAGTTGCTGATAAAGCACTCAAATATGAAATTAGTGTGAAGCACACACATTTTTAAGATAAAATGTGACATGCCATAAATTTCTTCTTTGAGGAGAGCTGCACAGAGAGTGGTATTAAGATGCTTTTAATCTTCGGAAAGGGACGAAAGGGACATTATTTCTCCGCGTGTATCCAGACTGTTGCAGGGACCCAGCACACTGTCCCCTCGGCTGTGATAGATTTGGCTTCATCTCATTTCTGTGCAGGGCTGAAGGATGTGGTGGGAATGTGTAACTCAGGCCGACCCCCGGGCTTTCCCAGATTTACTATCTGAAGCTATGCTAAATAATACATTCAGGTGACGATAATTGACCAAATGCGGGAACTGTCTATTTGGTAACTGTGGCTGCCCAACTGGTATTTTCAAGTCTTTTCAAGGACATTCCTTATTAAAAATAGCACTGCATTGAAAGCAGTTGTGCCAGCCAGGCAGTTTGCTTAAAACATTCAGTGGGGTGGTGGGGCCCTTTAATCCGGGTATGCCTGTGAGAGTCTAAAAGCTTTGCTTTCTGCGTTTTCTAATCTAGATTCTGGTCACTGTAACGCTGCTTTGGCTGCAGGTCGGGCTGCAGGGAGGAACTCGGACGGGAGGATGAGTATTCGCACCGATTTTCCAGAAGACAGTACCCCTTCCCTTCCTCCCGCCCGATCCCTGGAGGACTCCTAAGGCTAATGACTGGAATGGGAGCGCTCCGTTCTTCTGCCTTTACTGCGCTTCGGTCCGGCACTGAGGCTGTACAGACTGTAGCCTTCATGGAGTGTCTCCAGCTGGGTGTGAGGACGCAGGCCTGTAATCCTGGCACTTGGTGGGGCTGAGTCAGGAGGATCACAAACACGCTCAAGCCCAGCCTGGGTGACTTAGTGAGACTCTGCCTCCAGACAAGGAATAATCACCCAGGCGGGGGAGGTAGCTCAGTGGTAGAGCACTTGCCTAGCATACATGAGGCCCTGGCTTGCACTTGTAGTGCACACTTACAGAGAAAAGGAAAGTGCTTTGTTCTGTGGACGCATAGAAGCTCCCGGGGGACTTCAACATGTGAAGTAAGGCACTGGGACCTGTTTAGAGCGTTGGTGTTTGGGGCTGGGGATTTAGCTCAGCGGCACAGCGCCTGCCTGGCAAGCACAAGGTCATGAGTTCAATTCCCGGTACTGGAAAACAAACAAACAAAAAAAAGAGTGTTGGTGTTTAGAGCCCTCAGTCCCCAGAGCCCTGAGCTCAGCGGAAGGTTAGAGGCTGGGGCAGAACCGGGTGGACTTTCAAGTAGAAGGAAACAGCGCTTGGCTCTTTATGGGGTGCAGGAAAACGCAGCCCTGTTCTCAACAGGAGTGCTGGATGTGGGGCTCCCTGCTGCACCTTCTGGGAGTGTCCGGCTGCAGGGCCTGCCCCAGGCCAGGGGCTCTGGCGGGGAGGGAAAGCGCTGAGGCTCCGGGGTCCAGGCTGGGCCAGGGAGGGCGGCACGCACACAGCATCAGGCCCAGCACTCCACCCTCGCCCTGTGTCAGTCAGGGCCTCGTGACCTCTGCGGTGGGGTGCCTCCCTCACCCTGTTCACCCCTGGACTGGGTCGCCCACCTGGACAGAGGCTGCCCGTTAAGTCGTTACTCCTGTTCCCTGCCTTCAGCCCCGGAACCTCCTGCCACTGTCTGTCCCTGCGAGTTTGCCTACACTAGGGTCCTCAAGTCAGCAGCATCATCTGATGCTTTTTCTTTTTTGTGAGACTGGGGATTGAACCCAGGACTTCATACTTGCCAGGCAACCAAGTCTACCACCGAGCTATCTCCGTAGCCCCAGCCCTTACTGTTTTTTACTTTGAGACAGGGTCTCACCAAGTTGTCCAGGCGGGCCTCTACCGTGGGCTCCTCCTGCCTGAGCCTCCTGAGTAGCTGGGATTACAGGCATGTGCCATGGTGCCTGGCCAATATTTGTTTTTTTTTCTTTTATTAAATTAGCATAACTTTTCAAGGCTCATCCTGTGAAGTCAGAATCAATCAGCATTCTTTCTGAGTTCCTTCTTTCTGAGATCTGAAAGGAGTATTGATCTCATACACGTCCTTGCAGTCACAGCCGTATCCATGGAGAACAATGTCAACTTTGAACTCAGTGAACGGTTTTTAAAAACAGTGAGTGTAGTAAAAATGCCTTAGCTGTTTTGAAGCGTACAGTTGTGTTCCTTACATGCACATGGGTGTGCAGCAGATCTGCAGAACTTTCTCATTTTGCCAGACTGAAACTCCACATCTGAGGGAGGGCAACTCCCCGCTCCTCCCCAGCCCCGGGCCCCTCTCCCCGCCACTTCTCTGCTTTGGACTGCTTTGGATTCTCGTGTAGGTGGAACTGTGTAGCACTCGTCCTTTGGGGTAATGTCCCCTGCCCTTGCCCACGTTGTAGTGCGTACCGGATCTCCTTTTTTTCATCTACTTAGCTTTACTTCTTCACTGTCCCACTCATTCACTCTCTGACTCCCTCCAATCCCATCTCCTTTTTAAAGGCTGTGTAATATTCCCTTGTGTGCACACTCAACATTTGTTTTAACTGTCTGGTAAAGGGCATTTGGGTTGTTGTGAGCAAGACTGGCTGGAACGGGTGCACGTGTGTCTGCTGGGTCCTGCATTTGGGTCTTTGGGGTTGACTGAGAAGCTGGGTTTTTGGACCAGGTGCGCTGGGAGTTTTGTGGAGCAGGAGGGTGGGGTTGGCCTGCCCAGGAGGGTGTGTCTAGGTGGGGAAGGTGGGGGCAGGGTGAGGGAGGGACAGCTCCACAGAGCAGCTGCGCCGTCCCTGGGGGAATCACAAGCTCTGCGGGGCACGCGGTGCCTTCCTGGGCTGAGAGGGGTGCGTCCCGACCCTGCCGTCTTGCGGTGCCCTCACCGTCCCCACCTGCGGCCTCCCAGCCGTGACCGCATGCCTGCAGACCCTGCCGTGAGGACCGCTGGAGTGGAAGGGACAGGTGGGGCTTGGCCTCTGTCGGGTGGGGCTTGGCCTCTGTCGGCTGGGCCTGCACCACATCCTGCAGAAGCTGAGGGCATGTCGGTGAGCTGTGTGCTCGCTCACTGGGTGTGCACACGCCACGGCCTGCCCCTGCCCGGCAGCTCTGGACGCCTGGACCCACCCTCCCCTGGGTCATTCCCAGGCGCCTGTGTGCTATCCCTGGCTGGTGACACCTGCCTCACTGTCCTGTCCGCGCGTGTCCCCGCGCGTGTCCCTGCGTGTGTCCTCGTGCGTGTCTCTGTGCTTGTCCCGTGCGTGTCCCTGCGTGTGTCCCTGTGCGTGTCCCTGTGCGTGTCCCTGCGTGTGTCCCTGTGCGTGTCCCCGTGCGTGTCCCTGCACATGTCCCCATGCGGGTCCCCGCACGTGCCCCATGCGTGTCAGTGGTGAGCGATGAGAGGCAGGGTCGTGCAGCTCTGGGCCTCAGTGTGTCCGGCTGTGTAATGGGCTTGGGAGGAGCAGAGGTGACAGGGACTGGAAGTGGCCTGGGTGTGGGTGGCACTGGGTGGCTCAGAGGCGCCGTCATGTGCACGCCGTGCCAGCATGGGCCCCGTTGGCCTGCAGAGCCCCTGCCTGCAGCCCTGGGCCGGGACACAGACAAGGGGGCAGCTGCTGCTCAGGGAGAGAGGTGGAGAGCCCGAGGGCGGACGCGAGCTGGCTGCTTCCCGTGTGGGCTGTGCTCTGGGCTCTCGGCCTCCTCCCCGCCTGCAAGGGTTGGGGAGCGCAGAGTCCGGGAGAGCACCTCAGGGACCCCGCGTTTTACCCATCGGAAACACGTCCACCCCTAGTAACAGGATAGATCTTGAGTGGGACCTACAGAAATAACGGGGCTGGAGCGTGAAGGGTGTTCCTGTCCCATGCTTCTCTCAGAAGGGAGACGGGGGAAGGGACGCCATCCCCATCTTAGAAGTCTTTTTATTGTTTCGGTTTTTTGAGACAAGGCCCTTCTGTGTAGCTCAGGCTGGTCTTGAACTCACTCTGTAGTTCCGGCTGGCCTCAAACTCAAGGTGATCCTCCTGCCTCAGCCTCCCTAGTGCTGGGTTCTCAGGCGTGCCCACCGCCCCCGGCTAAGTCTTTGTGATAGCGCATTCCCGTCTTTTCCACAGATGTCAGAGGAATGGACAAAGCTTGTCCACCTTGGGGCACGTTGAAGCAGAGGTAAATTATTGTCATTTCAGCAAAGGGAGGGTCAGGAGCCAGGCTACCCCTCCGTGGAAGACCCAGGAGAGTGAGAGAGGACCGCAGGAAAGGTCCCTGCCGTAGCCTTTGTCCTGGGAGCTGCCGTCTGGCGCCGCAGTCATCAGCCCTGCGGTGCTGTCGCGGCCCCGGAGTGACCGGGTATCGACCCGGGGAGGTGAATCCACAGCACAGAAAGCCCCAGCTTGACTGCAGAGAGAGGGTGCGAGATGGTTTGGTCTTAGTCCTGATATCAACTTTGCCTTTCTCCCAGCTCTTTAAGAATCTGACTTTGCAGAAGCCTTCTCGGGGTAGAATCCCTTTAACTAAACCTGTTCCTTCTCCCTCGCTGTGGGTCGTAAGGGGACTGAGTCGAATAAAAACAGCCTTCGAGCATACGCACTTTATGAACCGGACCTGGACAAGCCCTGCCGAGAACATGCTGGGGTTTCCCGCCAGACTCCCCTGCGGAGCCCAAACTACTGCCCGCCTGCGCTGCTGGCGCCAAAGGGCAGGGAGCCGCGAGGAGACGCCCCGTCCACGTGGGCGCCCGTCACTGCGCTGGCTGTGGTCCCCGCTGCCCGCGGGCCATGGCTCTGGGCTCTGGTGACCCGGCGATGTTAAGGGTGTGCTCTGGCTCCCTTGCTCTAGATTGGCCGCCTGGTCATCGGGCAGAATGGAATCCTCTCCACCCCCGCCGTGTCCTGCATCATCAGAAAAATCAAAGCCATCGGCGGCATCATCCTGACGGCAAGCCACAACCCCGGAGGGCCCAACGGGGACTTCGGCATCAAGTTCAACATCTCCAATGGAGGTGAGGCTGGGGCGCTCTCCGCCGTGACCTGGCGTCTTGGGGTGGTGGGGCTCCTCCCCCGGGAGGGAGGGTCTTGGCATCCGTCCGGGCTGTGAGATGCTTCTCACGCTGGCATGAGCTGCCACGAAGGGCGCTTTCCCCCAGGGAAGGTGCCAACCGCTGCTGCAGGTCCCGGGCCAGAGGAGGGCTGCCAGCCTGGGTTCCCCACTTTTCCCCGCGATTCGGTCCCCAGGCCCTGCTCCCGAGGCGATCACGGACAAGATCTTCCAGATCAGCAAGACCATCGAGGAGTACGCGATTTGCCCTGACCTGAAGGTCGACCTGAGCGTGCTGGGGAGGCAGCAGTTTGACCTGGAGAACAAGTTCAAGCCCTTCACAGGCACGTCGGTGCCTCGCTCCCCCTCCTCCTCCCCCTCCTCCTCCTCCTCTTCCTTTTCCTCTGCTCCTCCACGCCCGCTGGGCTGCCTTCCTGTGAAGTCCCCTAGATGTGGGCTTTGCAGGTCTCACTGTGTGGGCGGGTCTGCTGTTGGGCTGGGGGCCCAGCGGCCGGGGCCCTGTGCCCTCCCTGCCAGCGAGGAGCTGGTTTCCGACTCCTTTCCCACATCATGGGTGCGTAGGGCCCCCGCTCCGTGGATGGCACAGCAGGGCTCAGGGCCAGGTGCACAGTGAGGCGGAGGCACTCAGGCTCAGATGCAGGTGCGACTGGCCCTCCAGCCTGGCTTCCTTCCGTCCTGCCCCACGGCCGGTAGCAGCAGTCCAGCCATCTCCTCGGGCCCGCTGAGACTCTCTGGGGTCTGTGCTTTGCTGTTGGCTGCCAGGGCACTGGGATGGCTGGTGGGAGAGGGGCTTGTGGCTTGTGCCCACGCATGGAGTGAGGACAGGAGGTTGGCGGCGGGCTGTGTCTTGGCTTTGCCTGAGGTGTACCCATGCCTCTGCGGGTACACCTGTGACGTTGTGCCCACTGAGAGCTGAGGGTGTCCTAACAAAGACGACGTGACACTTCAGGGAGCTTGAAGACTTCCTAGGCTTCAGGAAACATCAATGGAGACTTCCTCAAAGTCTTCCTGTCTTAGAAATAGTGGAACCCTGGAAACCCAATAGCAAGAATAGTAACAGTACTAGGTTCTTATGTCTATTTCATTCCATGAGCAGTACATGTAAAAAGTGATTCATTAAAGACATTTTTTTTGAGTTGAACATGGTGGCCTGTGCCTGTAGTCCCAGTAACTTGAGAGACTGAGACAGGAAGACTCCTTGAGCTCATGAGTTCAAGGCCAGTGTAGACAATGTAGTGAGACCCTGCTTTATCTTCTTTTAAAAACGCTTTTTAAAATCTGCTTTTTTACCATTATGTTTTTCTTTTTTTTTTTTTGAGACAGAGTTTCACTGTGCAGTTCAGGCTGCCTTTAAAGTCACTGTGTAGCCCAGGTTGCCCTCAAACTCACAGTGATCCTCCTGCCTCAGCCTCCTGAGTACTGGGATTGCAGGTGTGTGCCACTACACCTGGCAGGGTGGCAGAGTTTATACAGCCTCATGGGCAGGCAGATTCCCCAGCCTTTCAGACCTTGGGGTTCCTCATCTGTAAAATGGGACTAATAGAGTTTGCCTCTGAGGAAATGGTATTAAGATGTCACTGGACAGTCCTGTCCTCTCAGGCCCTGTGATTGTCCCATCGGGCAGCACAGCGCCTCTACCCGTGCCGGGCCCCTCGGCCCTTACCGCTGCCTGTCCTTGCAGTGGAGATCGTGGACTCGGTGGAAGCCTATGCCACGATGCTGAGGAACATCTTCGATTTCAATGCGCTTAAAGAGCTGCTCTCTGGCCCGAACCGGCTGAAGATCCGCATCGACGCCATGCACGGAGGTACGGACGCGCGTCTCTTCAGGCGCCCTCTGGGGCAGGACGCTGCCTGCGGCACAGCAGGGCCCGTCACCGCCCGCCTCTGATGACAGTGAGGTTATGTGGCAGCTGCTGCGGGGCAGTGACCAGAGATGGAGTGTGACCGAGGCGCCCTCCGGCAAGCTCGCGGGGGCTGGTGTCTGCGGAGTCCCAGGTGACCGTCGGGCAGCCGCTTCCTGTCCCTCTGACGCCCCGAGTTCTTCCTGGGCGTTTCTGAGGGCGTCACCAGGGGCCCCCATGCCCTGCACCCCGCTCACCCGCCCCCAGTGCTCCTTGCCGTAAAAGAGGGCGAGAGCCAGCAGGGCCTGAGGTCCAGGACGACAGGCGGTGAGCCCCTCTGTCCTCTGGGCACTGGGACGGGACGTGGGCCGGCAGCCGTGACCAGGAGCCAGAACCTGGGCTTCCTGCCTGGCAGGGCATGAGAGCTGCTGCGCACGTGTGTCTGCGTGTGTTGTAGTAATGTGCGCTTCTAGTCTGAGTGTCGAGGGCAGAGCCTCACGTGGGATCCATGCCCTGCCCACACGTGACCCCGTGCAGCCGGGCTCTGCCAGCTGCCCGTCTCTCTGCCAGCGCAGTGAGAGAGAAGCTCCTCCCGCGATGCCCAAGGCCGCATCCTGGACCGCGCCCGGTTCCCTGTCGAGCCCCCCAGGCCCCGCAGCGCACCCTCGAGGGCGGCTTCCTTTCTTCAGAGCCTGTGGGGTCCGGGACCAGCGCCTGTGCCGCAAGGCGCGGGTGGGATCCCAGCATCCTCTGTGCGGGTGGGAGAGACGTTTGCCAGGGGCATGGAGGGTTTCCTTGAAGGAGGGGCAGCGCCTCCGCTTTGGGTGGCGGGAAGCCGGTCACAGTCGCTCCCCGTGGAGGCAGGGGCTGTGGTGGGCGTGTGACAGCTTCCAGGAGGCGTCACTGGGTGAGGAGAAGCCTGACGCCGCTCAGGACGGGGCCCCGCAGGAGAGGCCGGCGGGAAGTAGCTTCCTTCTTGGGCCTCCCGGGTCCCTCGGAGCCCCGTGTGTCCTAACGGCCCTGGCCGCTGCCGCCTCCTTGTGTGGCTTCAGGAGCTGCAGGCGCGTGGCCCCAGGGGACACTCGCTCTGCCGCCCCCTCCTCTGCGGCAGCCCATCTCGGTGCCTGCCTCGGTGACCTGAGCGGGGTAGAGACCGTGTGCTCGGGGACCGTTTCCCCGCTGTCTGCTGTCACGGCTACGCCCGCGTGTGCCGAGGCTGGCAGGGTAGGGAGATGGGGCTCTGAGCGCCCCCCGGCTGGGGGAGTCCCGGCCAGCATCCTCCTTCCACGGCCCCGTTTCTCCTCTGCACCCTGGAGACCACGCTCAGGCCATAGCACTTACCAGGCACCTGCCGGGTCCTCCCCAGCCCTGAGACCGGGTGACTATGCGGTCCCCTGCCAGCCCTGCGGGGCTGTCCCCGACCCCCTCACTGCAGCCGGGAGAGACTGAGGTGCGAGACTCCGTCCCTTCCAGAGCGGTGCAGCAGGGACTGGCGGGTCTGGGATTCGAACCTCTGTCCCCAGAGTGCGGGGTCCTGAGTGCTTCCCTCCCCGCCCTGTCTCCATGGGCCGGGCTGTCCTTCCTGACCCGGGAAACCAGGTCCGCCCCTAGCTGCCACGCTTCCCCAGACGCCTCATGCCCAGCTCTCGTGCTTTGTGCAGTCGTGGGGCCCTATGTGAAGAAGATCCTCTGCGAGGAGCTGGGCGCCCCGGCCAACTCGGCGGTGAACTGTGTCCCCCTGGAGGACTTCGGCGGCCACCACCCCGACCCCAACCTCACCTATGCCGCCGACCTGGTGGAGACCATGAAGTCTGGAGAGCACGATTTCGGGGCCGCCTTTGATGGAGACGGGGTGGGTATGGGAGCATGGGGGGGGAGGCCATGCCGACCTACAGGTGGGTGGGCAAGGGCTGCTCCCAGCAGGCCCTGCACCCGGGGCGCCACGGCTGGGGGGCTGCACTGCATTATGGGCGGGGGTGTCAGAGCCTCCAAGATGCGCCCCGCTGTTCGGCTGCAATTGTGGTGGGGTTAGGTCCCAGTTACGAAGGAATGAAGCAGCTTCGTGGGCTGGCTGAGCCTAGGACACCGGAGTCAAGGCAGCTTTCTCTCCTCAACCAACAGCAGCTGATTGTTTAATCTCTGAAAAGGTCGTGGTGGCACACACCTGTAATCCCAGCACTTAGGAGGCTGAGGCAGGAGGGTCACTATGAGTTCAAGACCAGCTGGAGTACATAATGAGAACCTGTATTAAGAAATCCGTACATATACATATATATCCTATTTCTCCATTCACATTAGCTGAGGGATAAAACTATAACTTTATAACCCCTATGAAGACTGTTGCAAGAATTGTTCCATTCTTTCTGTGCAGTTGGAATCTTTAGGAGTGAGTAGTTTTACTACCGGGGTGACCGTGTAAAGGCAAGGCAGAGGTGTGCGCGGGTCTGGTTTGTGCCCTTCCAGGTCTCTAGCAGAGAGTTGGGTCTGTACATGTTCAAAGTGGAAGATTCATTTCTGTTATTGCTGTTGTTCTTTGCCCATGTAGAAGTCACTGCATCCCAAAACGCCCTCTCGTGCACAGATCGGGGCTCGGGGGGCTGTGGCAGGCGCTGTTTGCTGTCTGCCCTCCTGGAGAGGTGCGGGCTGTGTCCAGCTCCTACCACAGGGAGGGGGTGGCAGCATATTTTGGGTGCGGTGCCCAGCGAAGGCACGGGGACACAGGAGCCTGTCCTTGACATCTGCGTTGTTCCTCGGGAACCCGGCAGAACAGCCCGTGTGTGCCCTCTCCCGAGTCCCCTGTCCTCTGGGAAAGCTCGGGACCTCAGCTGGCCCTGGAGGGACAGCAGGGCTTGGCCCAGAGGGGCTCCGTGCCCTAACTGCACACCGTGGCCCATACTACCCTGCAGATCCACTGGAAACAAAGCCCGGGCTGAGCGCCGGACGAGCGGACCCGTGAGTTGGGAGTGGCAGCCCCGCGGCAGCAGTGGTCTGACGACCGGGCTCCCTCTGAATTTCCCTCCCCAGGACCGCAACATGATCCTGGGCAAGCACGGCTTCTTCGTGAACCCCTCGGACTCCGTGGCTGTCATCGCCGCCAACATCTTCAGCATTCCGTACTTCCAGCAGACCGGCGTCCGCGGCTTCGCACGCAGCATGCCCACCAGTGGCGCCCTGGACAGGTGTGCGTCCGACCCCCGGCCCCCGGCCCCTGGTCCTGCCACCAGCCCACGCCTGCGCCAGCCCACGTCCCCTCCCGGGAGCACAGCCTCCTCGTGCACTGAGTGTGCCCGTGTTTCTGGAGCAGGGTGGGGAGGTGGTCCAGGACCACCGGTGCCCCTCAACACCCGCACACCCACCTTTCTCCCACCCCCTCCCCACCCGTGTGTGCACAGCCTCGCCCTCACAGCTACCCAGCTGGGCCCTGCGCTTCTGCAAAGAGGACTGTGGCTCAGCACCCCCAGCGCTTCTGCAGAGGGAGGACTTGGCTCAGCACCCTTAAGGCTGCGTGGCCATGGTGGCCCAGCACATAAGAGACACACGCGTGTGTGCATCTGAATGAGTGATTTGCTACTGGATGGCGAGCGGTGGCCTGCTTTGCACCCCGTCCTCTAGCTGTGGCATGGGCGGGGGAAGGAGCAGCTCGAGGGGACGCTGCTGCCACAGGCTGGGTTTGCTCAGGCACGGTCAGCACCGCGGTTGTGCATTCACTCAGCGTCTCCGTGGAAAGCTCGAGTAGGTAAAACAGCAAGATTACTGCCGTCCCGTTTTTATGCAGTAGAAACCAGTGACCACAGGCAGCTGATAGCCCAGAGCGGCCTATGTGTCTGCTTGTTAGAGCCCACTCACTGCAGGTGGCCCCGGAGCATCCGAGATGGTACAGAAGCAACAGGTGATGCACGAGGGACAGGGAAGTATTGTTAGGACATGGCGTCTGCCCGGGAAGTTTTTGCTGAATGAACAGAGAGAGAGAGAGAAAAAAGAAAGGGAAAGAATAAAGAGAGTAAGAGAAGAAGAAAACTTAAAAGTTCAGGGATGAGGCGAGCAGACAGACTATGTCCAGGCTGTGTTCTGATACCAACCGTTACTGGGTATCACCGCATCCTGGGCCCTCAGTTCTTTGCACACTGTAAGTCATTTAATTCTCACACCAACCCCTGAGCCGAGCACTGTGCATGAGCGCACCTTACGGCGGAGGATGAAGGGACGGGTTGACTTGGCGACGCTCTCACAGTGGGTGGGCCGAGCCTCCACCACCCGGGCTGTGCAGTCCCCGGCGGGGTCGCTGCGGAGTTGCTGCTGGCAGGAAGCGGCGCATGATGTTGAGGGCGGTGGTGATGGGACGGTGAGTTCTCCACGCTCCTCCTCGGGTGATCGTAGCAGTTCTCCGCTTCGGAGAGGTTGGAGGAGTCAACATCGTGTCTGAGGCCCCGGCGCTGGTCAGGGCAGGACTCAGAGCCGGGCCTGGGTGCTGGGCCTTGCACCCAGTACGAGAGCCGGTTTGTGGCCACCCCGTGTGCCAGCCATCGGGCCCTGACCAACGTGCCTGCTGCCAGCCTAATTGGACGTTTGCAAAAGCTGATAATCAGCACGTGGACTCCTACCTGAGCACCTCGCTGCCCGGAGGAAAGCTTACTGCGCTGTCATTTCGCAGTCCTTGGTTTGATCTTCCTCCAGTGCTAGGCTGCGAACCTGAGTCGCTGTGCTAGGAATAAGCAGATCTCACTCAAGCTGTGGGTGAGGGCTTTTGGGTAATTTTCCCTGTACAAAGGAAAAAGGATTGTTTTTAAAGTCAAAGTTTTCCTTTTTATTATGATGGGTTTGGTTTTGGTGCTGGGGATGGAGCCCTGGGTCTTGCACAGGCCAAGCACATCTCTACCAAGGAACCTCGTCCTCCGCGGGCCCCACACAGAGGTGTTAGGTAACGGGAGGCTCTGCGGAGAGCAGGGAAAGTCGTGTCAGGGACGAGGGCACTGCTGGCCGGAGTGAGTGGCGCTGTGCGGACGGAGACGCTGTCCCCTGGGAGGTCGAACCTGCGCTCTTGTCTTCCTGCCTGTAACACCATAGTCTCCTCCGGCCCTGTCGCCTTCCCTGTCACATGCGGACTCCCGCACCCTTGCTTTAAGACTGCGGTTGCGTGTCAAGACACCATTCTTTTGTCTGTATAGAATGGCTGTAGATAAGGCTGTGCCAGAGGAGGAGGCTCCCGGTGCCCCCAGAGCAGTCCTGGACGTTCCCTGCTGCTGCTGCTTCCAAACTATTAAACTGCGACCCAGCCGTGCTTTGCTCTGTTTTCCCCTCCCTCTGGGTCCGCACAGAACAGCACGCTGCCTTCCCACCACTCTCAGAATCTTGCGGACCTCCGGCGCTGCTAAGTCGGAGCCCTGATCACAATAGCAGCCGCTCCTTGCCATCACGGTCCCGCTGTGACGTGACTTTGATTTCATGCCTTTGAAGGGTGGCGAATGCTACAAAGATCTCTTTGTATGAGACCCCGACGGGCTGGAAGTTCTTTGGAAACTTGATGGACGCCAGCAAGCTGTCCCTGTGTGGAGAGGAGAGCTTCGGGACCGGTAAGTTGTGCGCCGGGCTGAATTTCCTTTGCCCCAACTGCCACCTCCAGCGAAAGCGGAGACGGCTGAGATGGCCCCGAAATAGCAACGGGCTGCTGTGTCCAGAGTCAAAACACTGTTTATTTATAACAGCCCTGATGAAGTGCACGCTTCGAAAAGAAGCGAGTGCATCTCGCCAGGAGGACTGGTTTTTCTTTCTGAGGATCACATCCACCGAGGAGACAGGAAGTGGGGGGCCTCCCTGGCAGAAGGGCCGTTCGGTCTGTGGGGATTAAACAGAGCGATAAACATATTTTTCTTTCCTCAGCGGCCAGTGAAACCTTTGTAAATGTTTTCTTTTCTGAGAAGAAACACGGAGGTGTGAGCCAGGGTTTTGGTTTTTTATTTAAGGAGAGATTTCAGCACAGCATTCAATCTTTCTCTTCCCTAGCCCCGTGTTTTCTAGAGCAATGGGTTTTGATTTATCAAGGTGAAAGGAAGGAGCTGTTAGCATAGAACTAAGCTGCTGGGTGATCAAGAAATTAAATACAGCTCCTTGTGCGTAAGGCTGTGCGTGTGAACTGCAGACAGGGCGGGACAGGGCATGCTCTGGGTTAAACCAGACCTTAAACTCCGCCTCTGGGCTATCCAGATACTGATGTGACCATCTGCCTCCTCCACACCTTCCTCTATGTTATGTTTGTGGGGCTGATTTCTTTGAATGAAGTTGGCAGATTTGAAACTGTTCCTTGTGTAAGTCTGCTGTTTATTAACCCATTCAGCAAATAATTAGTGCCTGCCGTGGCTTTATCTTCCCTTTGTATCTTTTATATCCGAAGAGAGACTTCATCCAGAGACCAGTGTACACGTTCTCCCTCTCCCGCTGAAAAAGAAATTGTTAAGAGAAATAGTTTGTTAAAGGTAAACAAATTGTTAAACATAGTGAGTGTGGTGACACATGCCTGGAATCCCCACACTCTGGGAGGCTGAAGCAGGAGGATCACAAATTCAAGCTCAGCCTAGACAGCTTAGCAACTCAGCAAGACCCTGTCTCAAAATTTAAAAAAGAGTTGTTAAAACTATGCAGCCCAGGCGCATGATCCTGGGCCTCCAGTGCTGTGACCACGTGTGGCTGAGCCTATTTAACTGAACCCTGCTCCTTCCCTGTAGAGGTGTTGATATCCCACACCACACCCCTGGCTGGGGAGCATTTCCCACAGTTCCTTTACAAGTTTCTCAGCATGAACATGAGTAAGTCCATGAGCTTTGAAATGTCTGAACCCTAGAGTCTGAGGACCAGTACTTTAATTCTGTATTCCTCCAAGTAGAAGCAGAGAGACCGTCTCATGAAGGCTCCCTGACTTCCAGAGTGGGGGCCAAGACCCCACTTACTGGTCCTCTGGCGCCACAGCTCTCTTTGTTGAACTCGCCGTGGCTGTGATTTTGTAATTACTCCGGATGATTTGCCAGTTGTCTGCTGACTCCACAAGACTGCAAGCTCCGAGGACAGGGCTCTTGCCTGTCTCACCCTCCATCGTGTCCCAGGAATATCCCAGCAAGCCCAGCGTGGGATGGGTGCTCAGGAAATGCCGAGTAGACAAATGACGGACACACGCTTCCCTGGCGCCTTCCGCCTGGACTAACAGGCCCCTGCTGTTGGAAGGAAAGAGCTGTAAAGTCACTTGATGTGTCACGCCTGAGGCTGCAGTGGCCAGTCACTGTGTCCATGGAGGGCCCTTGAGGGGAGGACTCAGTGGCACTCTCTCCAGAGCGCAGGTTCCGGCAGCCAGGGTCTCCGTGGGGAGAAATGAGCTCCCGGAAGGAAAGGAAGCTCACTGCCGGAGGTGTGGAGGCTCAGCGTTCCCCTCGCCAGGTCAAAGCAGCCTCGGCAGTGGCACCTCCAGGACAAGCCGGTGGCATCGAGTGACTCACGTTACCAAAGCCGCACAGGTCTCATGTGGACAAGAACAAGCAGCCTCCTCCCGTGCTTAGCATGCCCACCGAGGCCGGCCACGGCAGACACCAGCGTGACACGGGCAGTGGGCGGGGTCTGTTCCACGCGGAGACCCAAGTGGGGAGCAGAGCCGGGCAGGATGATCCTGTCATTCTGGGCGGGTCTCACGGGGCTGTGCTGCTCTCCCTCCAGACTGCGGGCAGTGATGCACGTGTGTGCCTGCAGCAGCAGAGGGCAGGATGTCAGTTCCGTCCGCCGTGGGCTCGTGGGGAAACTGAAGGTGCTCAGTGATACAGAGTATCGCTGCTTCTCCAATCTTTCTTCAGGAAAATGGAGGTCTTGGGAAGAAACGAGGAAGCCCAGCTGGAGCTTGCGGAGCAAGTTCCGATCTGTCTGATGGAGAGCTTGTCCCATTTAAAGCGACAGTGCATCGTCTGGGGGTGCCGACTTGGGGAATGTACCATCTTTTCACTTCGATTTCCTGTGAAAAGCCTGTCACGTTTGTACCCTTGGCATCCATCCCTTCCTCAAGTGCTTCGTAAGCTTGCTGTGTCGAAGAGGCTGGGCCCGGCTCTGGACATGCAGTGTCTCTGGAGACGTCTCCTTGGAGGGCTTCGTGATTTTCTGCCTGGGGTAGGACGTCTGGGCAGGGAGACAGGAGTTTGGAGAGTGTAGCAGGTGATGCTCCAGTGCGAGCGAGCTCTGTGCCCGGGCCGCCCACCCTCCGCCTGGGGTGCAAGGGCCGTATTTTCTGTCTGCATCTCTGCCCGTTCTGGCCTTCAGGGCTGCGGGCTACGCTTCCCTGCAGGCTCAGCTCCCAGGGGACAGTCACAGCACCCCAAGTCTGCAGCTCCGCCGGGCAGGAGGCCCCGGTAGAACGAGGCCTGGGCCCTAATGACAGCCCGTTCGGTTAAGCTGATCCCTGCACTCTGTCTCCCGCCTATGAAGAAGGGGTAGATCTTGCTCGTCTCTCGGCCCTTGGGGCCTGCTGGCCTGGTTTCCGGGTGTTGGGCATGCAGGGATGTTTATGTTGGGACATAATTCCTGCCCGGCAGGTGCCTGCTCCCTCCTGCCAGGGTGCATGGTGGGAAGGGAAGTTGTTCCAGGGCATCAGGAGGGAGCTGGGTGCAGAGCCTGGGATCCTCAAGCTGGGGCTGGGATGGAGGGCAGAGAGCAGAGGCCGTCCTGGGGTGGCCCCCCTCTGAAGACGGTCCGGGGTCTTGGTGCCGCTGGATTATGGCACAGGTCCAGGGTGTGGAGAGCAGAGCGGCGAGGAAGGCATCCTGAGTACGGCTGAGTTGCGGAAGTCCCGGGCACAGTCAGCCGGTGAGTGGGGCCTGTGGGGTGCGAGTGCCTGGCAGAGGGAATGCACGTTCAGGAGTGTGGAGACAGGGAGAGAGGGAGAGAAGAGACAGCAGACAGACCGCGGCAGCCCCTGTGGACAGGTGAGGCCCAGGCCGTGCCTGAGAGGCCCACGTTGCTGCTTGCAACCTAATCTTTGAGCTGTTAGCTCCTGGCTCACTCTGCAGGACTTGGCATTTTTCTTGCTCGGGTCTGGGAGCTGCCCCAACTGAGCTGGGGTTGCAGGGATCACAAGGTGCTGATCCTGCTGAAGTGGAGGGACAGGTGTGTGGCGATGCTGAGGGGGCAGGATCCCTGGCGCCCCTGGACTCCAAGCTGGGACAGGAACACAGAGCCCACAGCCAAGCCTGCACTGCCTTCGCACCTAGGGGGAGCCAACCTGGCCAACGGTGTTTGCCCTGAAAATCAAGATGTGGTTACAGGAGTTAATGTGTGTTCACCATAGGAAAGTAAGAAAGGAAAAACTGTTCCCGCTGCCCCAGGAAGGGACGTGTCCGATTATGTGCTTCTGTTTTCTTCCTCGAGATGCACAAAGAACATTATTTTTGAATGGTTCATAAGATCAGTGGAAAACATACTGCTTTTCCCTAAAAATTTAACTTTCTTCTTTATTCATAGTAGTATTGTATATGTGGTACTTAGCAGTTTACAAAACATCTCCACTTGCTTTGTTTTAGTGGTTTTTGTGGTTGTGTGATAGTTTAGCATTATTCCCATTTTACCGGTGACAGAACTCAGAAAAGAGCCTCAGAGGGGTGAAGTGGCTTGTCCACATTCAAGTGGCTTATAGCTAACAGAGCCTCAAAGTCGTGTTTTCTGCTTTGTGAGTGTGAAGCATTTCCTAGGGGATCCCAGGTGATCAGGTTACAATAGATGAATATGTGTGGACCAGTACCCCAGAGTGAGTGTAAATATTAGTGTTGCAAACATACCAGTGCCCTGGTCACTTTCCCATCACCATAACAAAATACCCAACACCAGCAATGTAAAGGAAGAGGGTTTTGGTCTCACGGTTTCAGCTCATGGCTGACTGGCTCCAGGCCAGTCTTGCATGGCGGACAAAAGGCTGCTCGTGTCATGTACCCAGGAAGCAGAGAGGGAAAACTGGGGAGAAGGTATTCTGCAAGGTCGCACCTCAGCAACCACCTCCAGCCACCACCGCCCCCACTGCAAGTGCACACTCAGTTATGAATTCATTCATGATGGATCCACTGATGAGCATGTTCTGATCACCATCCACAGACATGAGGCTGTCTGGGAACAATTTATACAAATTAACATCCTACCCCCCGCCCCCCCCAGAGACTCATGTCCATTGCATGTAGTCCATTTCTAAGGGTCACCAAAGTCCTAACAGTTTCAGTACTGGGGAAACATCCAAGGCCAAAGACTCCTCTAAGACTCAAGGCAAACTCTTAGCTGTGAGTCCATGTAAAAATGAAAAAAGAAAGTTGAATGCATCCAACAAATAAAGGCACAGGGTAAATATTCCCATTCTAAAAGGGAGGAGAAAGAGGAGAATGGAAAGGAAGGGGACTGAAGTGAGACCAAAACCCGCCAGGGCAAACGTTAAGTCCTATGGCTCTCTGTCCAGCACCTGGGCCAAACAGTGGTGAGGTGCAGCCTCCAAAGGGCATAGGTGGCCCTGTCCCTGCACCACTGATGATTGCAGCCCTCATGTGCCGGGAGCTCCCCTGTCTCCCAGTGCCCTGGGACAGTAGACAGCAAAGGGTAAAAGACAATAGACCAAAGTAATATGGTATACAAAATAATACACTGTCCTCTCAGGGGCGTGCTGCCTGGCCTTCCAGGGCTTTCTCTGGAATCTGGGTAGGAGCCTCCTGGATCCCACAACTCTGGCATTTCGCATGCTTGAAAAACCTGCAGCATGTGGGTGATGCCAAGAGTCGCCATGAGCTGTAATAGTAGCTGGGCCCCCTTGGCTATGACTGGAGTAGCCTCTGAGTGCTTGGATGGTTGAGGACTGTGAAATGAATCTCAGAGAACTAATTCCCTAGGTGGCTTGAGCAGGAGGCCCAGGGGCTTGCTTTGCAAGCGAAAGCATTATAGTTTCCACCTGTGTACCTGCAAAGGGTGGGGTCTTGATGATTCCTGAGATGCCCTCAAGGCACCTTTCCTATTATCCCAATGCAAAGTACTTGGCTTCTTTTTAATACTAATCTTTTCAGCAACCAGGCTCACTTGGCCTTAAGTTTACAGGTGCTTGCTTTCCAGCCATCAGCAAAATTTTTCAAAACAGACAACCCTGTTTTTGGGATCTGCTAAAACTGTAAATCTGCCTAAAGGCAGCCAGCAGTACCCATGCCACAGCCTGACTGTTAGGTGTCCTTGATATTTCCTCGGGTAGACCAATTAGTCTATCACCCTTAATCTTAGCCTCCTGCAAAGTTTCAAGACATGAGCAAAATGTAGACAAACTTTCTTCCAGAACATAACACACGTGCGTGGCCTCATATCCAACTACAAGTGGAGTCCTTATTCCTGACTGAAGCCTCCTGAGCATGCCCTTTACTGTCTGCATTCGTATCAGCATCCTGGTCTTCTTCTGAGCTCTGACCAGAATCTCCTGTCAAACTCAGTTTACAGCATCTGTAGTTTCTCTAGGCAGCATCTCCGAACCTTTTTGAAGTCCTCCTGCAAACAAGTTCCAAGGGATTCCAAACCATATGGTCTGGTATAGCTATAATAACAACCCTACTCCTGGTACCATTTCTGTCTTAGTCACTTCCTCGTTGCTGCAACTTAAAGAGGGGAGAGATTTCCTTTGGTTCATGGTATCAGTCCACGGTCAGCAGGCTCCAAGGCAGAAACAGCATGGTGGAAGAGGCTGACAAAGGAGATCTCAAACCATGGCACCAGGAAGCAGAGAGAGAAGGAAGGAGCCAGGAAGGGAATATACCCTTCTAGGTCACACCCCCAGGAGCCCCCTCTTTTGATCAAGCCCCGCCTCCTGACAGTGCATTCAGCTCTGTGTCCCCATAATCCAGCCATCTTCTAATCACCAACCTCTGAGCACAAGCCTTTGGGAGACATTGTAGATCTAAGCCACAGCGGAGCAAAGCAAAGGAGCTGGCAGGAATGGTGAGGAGTGTGTTTGGAGCAAGGCAGTTAGCAGTGTGTCTTTACTGTAATAAAAGTCTTTTTTATTTAAATAGTCACTGTGTTTTCAGTTTGAACATTAGGTGTATGATGTAATTGTCTTCAAGTAAGTTGGTCTGAATTGGGTATGATTTTTGGATTTTATTTTCATTTCCACATTAAAAAAACCGCAAGTTCTATATTTAGAGTGGAAACATTACCTCCATGCTTTCAGTCTGGGCAAAAAGAAAAGAAAAAGCTTGGGGACAGTACGGGAATTGACGTCAGGGCCATGTGTCTGCTCTGCAGTACCCAAGCACTACGCTATGTGCCCAACCCTTTCTATTAAAGTGGAGCACAGACAACTAATTCCAATCTGTACACTGCGGGGGCTGGGGATTTAGCTCACTGGCAAAGTGCCTGCCTGGCAAGCGCAAGGTCGTAAGTTCGGTTCCCGGTACCGGAGAAAAAAACCAAAAAACCAAAAAAACCAATCTGTACACTGCGGTCTTGAGTCTGCAGTGTGCTGGGGAGGTGACCAGAATTCCACTCTTCAAGATGAACTGTTGGCAAAACATACCAACTAACGTTTTGTTCTTTCAAATAGCAGTAAAGGCCAATAAAAATCTATAGATAATAAAATTGAGTAAATATTTCCAAAATGTGTCGCATATAGCAGTAAAAATAGCCCTCCTCTCTGTAGTCATACCAGGATCCAGTTTGAAGGCCTGTTAATTCTAAGACTTGTATTACATTGTAGAGAAAAATTTGTGAACGAAAAAATTGTATATTCCTATGAATCAAAACAGAGACAGCATTGGAGTAGGTGCGCTGAGGATTTGATTCATTCATGCACACACAGTTACCTGCCGTATTCCACAAGCCATGCCCATGCTCAGACTCTGTTACAGAGGTGAACAACGGAGGCCTCTAAGAAGTGCGGCGGGGAAAGGGATGACTGGGGCTTAAGGAAGGTGGAGCTGCCCCAGAAGCCTTGTGCACACAGAGAAAGGAGCTCCCACCTGCCTGGCCAAGCTTGGCGCTGCCTCCGAGAGGACATTTGGGCTGGGTCTAAAAGGATGAAGCGGTGGAAAGAGACCACATGCCTGCTACGTGGCCAGCAAGGTGCTAGATGCTCTGACAGTCCCAAGAAGAACAAGACCCAGCGGGAAGTCAAGTAGGGCCAGAAGGCACATGTGGAATCCAAGATAAAACAGTACACAAGCGTGATTACAGAGGGATTGTGGAGTCCTCTCCAGAAGTCAGAATATGGCTCAAGACAGTCTGCTTTCTGTGTTGTTTTAGAAGAAGTTTAAAAGCTGAGAATCTGAGTCCTGTCCCCTATCAGGCTCTTGGAAAAGGGCCATGCATGGAAGCACATCCAGAAGTGGCATTTCTTAATTTTGGTAAAAATCTTAGCAGGATGCACACGTGTCACAGTTTGTTTAACCAAGCGCTGTGAGCTAGAGAAAACAGTCCCAGTGTGGGGGTTGCTGGGCCCATCGGTAGGCTTATTTTTAAAGCTTTCGTACTTTTTGTCAAGTTGTTTTCCAGATGGATTTTACTGTACACACTCCTTCCCACACACACTCCTACCCGTACACGCTTCCATCGCACACACTCCTACCTGTACACACCTTTGACCTGTTTTCCTACTGAGGTTTTGCTTTTCTCTTATGAACACATATAAAATTTTCCTTAATGAGTGTATTAACATCTGCCTTAGAATTGTGAATGAGCTGGGTTTCAAAGTACGTCTGTGGTCTTTTAATTTTATCTAAAGTAATATTAGTGTATAGATTTGGAGATTTTAAGTTAATATATCAGTTGTTTCCCTTTATGAGTACTGAACTTGCATGTATTTATAACTCCCAAGATATAAGAAATATTTTTATGTCATGTAGTGCTTAAAGTCTTGCAATCTTTACATTTGAATTTTTAATTCCTTTTTTTCTTTTTTTTGGTATGGGAATTTTTTTTTTTTTTTTTTTGTACAGGCAGGCGCTGTGCCACTGAGCTACATTCCCAGCCCCTGAATTTTTAATTCCTTTGAATTTCTCTTTGGCGTGGTTTTTTGTAAGTGAGAAAACTGAAGTTTTCCAGGTGATTGAGCCGGTTATCCAGACACTGCCTGACCCTTCCTGCATCCGCTCCCCAGCCCTGAAGTGAGGCTCCTTCTCTGCACCTGTACTTGAGTCTCTCTGAGGGTTTCTTTTGCTCTGTGAAGCTACTAGGCTGATTTAGTTACTGAACATTTATAATGGCTGTGTTTTTCTGCTGTTTAACATTTATTTCACTTTTTCTGACACCGGTATTTGTACCTGATAGCTCCAGTTGTGGCACATTGTCCCCTGGCATTTTTATTGACATTGCCTCTCTGGCTCGGGAAAGAGGTTGTTGTGTGTTGGGCTCTGCTGCCAGCTGGCGCTCGCCCTGGAGCTCAGCCCTGGGGGAGCCACACTCCTCAGAGGGGCTCACTGTGCACACAGGTTCCGACCACATCCGGGAGAAGGACGGGCTGTGGGCCGTCCTCGCCTGGCTGTCCATCCTGGCTGCCCGCAAGCAGAGCGTGGAGGACATCCTCAAGGATCACTGGCAGAAGTACGGCCGCAACTTCTTCACCAGGTAGGTGCCGGCCCTTCCCGGGTGGGGACAGAGAGTCCCACAGATGTCTGTCCCGTCTCTGGGGCCACAAAGCCCCTGCTCATTGGTGGACTTCTACATAATTCAGTCAGGGTCGACACGAAGCCAGCTTTTATGCCAGCCATAAAGAGCAAGACCAGAGATCTACCCGACAGAGTCAAGGGAATAAACGCTTCCGAAGCATGTTTACATACTCCCGTTGGGTGGACGTGATAAAGCGCTGGATTCAAATTCAGAGAAAAGGCTTTGAATTTTATGTCTGCATCTTACTAAACTGACAGATCGTTTGACCTCTCTCTGTGCTCGGTTTTTGTCATCTGAATAGTGAGCCGGTGCCGAGGGGGTTCAGTGAAATAGTCTGAGAGTGTTTTGTTTGCTCTGGAGCACTAAAAGCATACAATTGTTCTTTAAATGATAATCTACTATGCTTCCCCCAAATCCGCTTTTCTGACTCTTTAAAATAGGTACCCAAAGGCCATGCACTTATCAATACCTCATTCATTGATTCCTCAGATGTTTACAGCGTACCAGCTTTCTGTCACGCACTGAGGGCTCCACGGCGAGCACAGCAGTCACAGCACTTCGTGTCCCTTCTTTACCACGCGTCCTTCTGTGTTGAAGAAGCCCTAAATTTTAGGGGATCCTGGGGTGTAGCTCAGTGACAGAGAATGCGCTTAGGTTGCCCAAGGCCCTGGGGTCTGCCCCTAGCAGCATATGTTTATTGGATTTTTTTTTTAACCAGTAATGTTTTCCATGAATTCCACTTTGCCTCCCACCAGTCAGTGCGGATATTTAACAATTTTTTTCTTGGACCTCATTAATCCAGTTATGCAAAAGAAATACAGAAAAGGATGTTAGTATTTATCTGTGAAAAAAATGCACGGATATAATTTTTCTGGACTTTATTTGCTTCTCCTATGAAATGGGTGAGTTAGACTAGTTTTTCATTGTTGTTAAAGTCCTGGGAATTGAACCCGGGGCCTTCGCTCTGAGCTTCATCCCTGGTCCCTTTTAATTTGATTTAATTTTTAAAATTTTAGGACAGGGTCTCACTAAGTTTTCCAGGCTGGGCTCGAACTTGTGATCCTCCTGCTCGCAGCTTCCCAGAGTGCTGGGATTTAGAGAATTTAGAAAATGCATCCCATAGTTAATAATCCTCGATAGTAATAGTTAATGATTCCTTGCCCTGCTAAGAAAGCAGTCGAGAACAAGTCCTAGAGGAAACGTCATCGCCCCGAGCTCCACGGCTGGTCTTCACAGTGGTCCACGACAGCCTGCTCAGCCAGGCTGGCCTCAAGGCCTTGGATGAGGCTCCGCCGCTACGGAAGGAGGGTGGCGTCTCGGCCGGCCCTAGGCGGGGACTTGACAGGGCTGCCGCCGCTCAGCTGGGGCCACTTCTGCGACTTCTTCCAGGTACGACTATGAGGAGGTGGAGGCGGAGGCCGCGAACAAGATGATGAAGGACCTGGAGGCGCTGATGCTGGACCGCTCCTTCGTGGGGAAGCAGTTCTCGGCCAATGACAAAGTCTACACGGTGGAGAAAGCAGACAACTTTGAGTACAGTGACCCGGTGGACGGGAGCGTTTCCAAGAATCAGGTGGGAACAGGCGTGCAGGGAGCATTCTCCAGGGCGACCCCTCTGCGGCCCTTGGCCGAGCTGTCTCTGCTGGCGCTTGTGGGACTCAATGCCACTTGGGGAGTGGCTCGAGCCCCGGTTTGGTGCGGCCCTCGTGCCCACCTTCGGGGTCCTCGGCACTCTTGTGCGCCCTGGAGTCTTTCTGGGTTGTCTTGTGGCATGTGGGTGTGCAAGGAGCCGGGAATCTAGAAGGGTGAGCGTGGTGGCCTTAGATAGTGTCGCTCCTCCGCTCCAGCGGCTGCCTGGGGCAACGCCACATGAGGGGAACTGTCCCACACGTGTCTTTCACATGTTTAGATTCCAAGTAAGAATTTAAATGAGCCAGTCCTTAGCCGGGCATGGTGGTGCATACCTGTAATCCCAGCTCTCAGAAGGCTGAGGCAGGAGGATCATAGTGAGTTGGAGGCCAGCCTGGACCACATAGTTTAAGGCCAGCCTGAACTACATAGTAAAACTCTGTCAGGAAAGAAAAATAATGGCCACCTTGGACTTAGAAACATTAAGTGTTCCTATGTGTAAGCACCGGCCAGCGGTGGTGTGCTGCACGTGGGATACCATGCCTGGGAACGTGGACCACCCTGGTGCAGAGGCGACCAGGCGCCTGCCCTGTGCGCTGTAGGTTGCGGGCTGCACGCCATGGGCGGCAGGCTGTTTACCAGTACTCAGCCCTGGCACCTGACCTTGCCCCCGGCACAGAGCCGGCTCGCTCTCCTCAGGGAATTGGAAGGGCCAGTGGGGGCGGGCAGCCTGGCACCGGTGGGCCCCTTTGATGTCCCAGGCACCAGCAGGAAGTGTCTGCTGGACCTCTGCGGCCCAGTGTCCCCATCCTGCCCGAGACTGTCCTGCGCTGGGGGTCCCATCTGCACCTGGCAGCGTTCCTTGCATTACAAGCTTCAAACGGGGGTGGTGGCCTGGGCTCCCGGGGAGCAAGGACGGAGCCGTCCTGAGGCCTGGTCTCCCGTCGTCCCGGGGTGAGCTGTACCCACTGCCCGCAGCAGACGCGTGAGGCCCGGTGGCCGTGTGTTCAGGCCCTGATGCCCCGTCGGCGTCGAGCGCGGGGGAGCTGCCAGCTCCCTCTCCGTCCCTGCGCACAGCAGTGACGCTCTGCCCGCGCCCCCAGGGCCTGCGGCTTCTCTTTGCAGACGGCTCCCGCGTCATCTTCCGGCTGAGCGGCACCGGGAGTGCGGGGGCCACCGTGCGCCTGTACATCGACAGCTATGAGAAGGACGTCGCCAAGATCAACCAGGACCCCCAGGTGACGCTGCGCCTGCCCTGGCAGGTTTCTTCCTCAGGGTCCGCCGGGCACCTCTGCCTTCCTCTGCCCCTCTCAGGACATCACAGATTCTGACAGTTGTCGCCATCGCCCCCACCACCCTGCCCCAGCCCAGCCCCTTGATTGACTGCATGCTCCTTGGTTCTCAGATTAGGGAGAGGTCCCGGCACACGTTCTCCCTGCTGCAGACAGGAAACGGAGGCGCAGAAAGGCTGAGTAGAGTGCTTGGAGTTGGGTGTTCTCGAATAGGAGATTAGGGACCCTGGCCTTCGAGTCGGCCCCGCCTGCTGCCCTGCTATCATGATCACGTGCTGCTGCTGACCATGGCTTCTCTGTGGGCAGGGGTGGAGTCTCCATGTTCATGGGAAACAGACCTGCCAGGGGGTCCCCGAGCCCTGTCAGGGTGATAGCAGAGTCGTCAGCCCCGAGAGACACCCGTGCCCACGTCCCTGGTGGCACTGTTTTCCATAGCCGAGATAGGGAACAACCTAAGTGCCCATCACAGACGTGGATCAGGTGATTATACATATATACGTGAAACAAGCACAGCCAGATCACGAGAAATACCGCATCTTAGCAAGTAGGGATGTCCTGCCATTGTGAGGAGGCACAGCGGGCGCAGTCAGCCCGAGGTCCGTCGTTCGTGTGTGGAAGCTGTGGAAAGAGAAGGGAGGTTGTGCGCTGGGGCCAGGGCTGGGGCAGAGGCCAGCCTCAGGCGTGGACTTCCTGCGTGGTGGGTGCCAGGAGTCCTTGAGATCCAAGGTGCCATGCGGTGACTGTCACTAGCCACACCACACGCTCGAGAGCTCCTGAGTGGAGCTTCGGTGGCTCTTCCCACCCGAGCCAAAGTCAGCCGCTCTGAGTCATTAGCTGCACTCCCGTGGAGTCGGTTCCCTGTGTGTCTCAGAACACCAGGCTTTATACCTCCAATAGAAGGTTTTTATTAAAAATTAAAGTTGACAGCATCGCCGTGCTTATTTTTGCACAAGGTCTTTTTTTCTTCCAACACCTACTTGCAATCCTGTAACATTCATGCAGAAACCTGTGATGGGCCGGGCCTGAGCCTCGGTTTGTGGGGAGGTCTCCCCTCCAGTCCTGTTCCCCTGCTTTCTAACTGTGCGTCTCTGGCGGCCGTCTTGTTTTCATGAGTCTTGGCATCCTCATCTTCAGAATGGCGGGATAGTAACGTCGTGGAATTACAGGGCCCTGGGGAGACCTGGCACATGAGGTTAATACACACTGGAGAAAGAGAAGCTCTTAGAATTGTGAAAAACAGAACAAAAAAACTCATAAAATTTACTTCATTCATTTTAGATGTACCACTTAGTAGTACAATGTATATTTACACTGTTCAACAGCTGTTCAGAACTTTTCATTTTGTAAGACTAAACTTGAAGCCAGGCATGGTGGACCGTGCCTGTAATTCCAGCTACTCAGGAGGCTGAGGCAGGAGGATCAGGAGTCTGAGGCCAGCCTGGGCTACACAGACCCCAAAACTTAGCAAGACCGCAAGAAACAAAGTGAAACTGAAACTTTATAGCCCTCGAACAATACGCCGTATCCCCCTACTCCACCCCTGCCAGCTGTCAGTCCGCTCTCCACATCTATGAGGTTGACAGCTGATACTCCTGTATGCGGTGGGTGGCTCTATTGCCAGCGGGGAGGCGGGAGCGCTTTGTGTCCACACCTTCCCAGCGGCCGGGCTCTGGCCCTCGTGTGTGCCGGGCTCCCTAGGACTCAGCGCCAGGCTATGGGTCTGCATGGAGGCCTTGGGGTGACAGCAAGAGGAAGCGAGGGAGCCATGTTTATTTCTCTCTCCACCCTCAAGACAAAAGCCCAGCGCATGGTGGAGCACGCTCCTGGGGGAGCATCCTTTGCACGCCCCCCTCTGCTCCTGCCGTTTGCACAAGATGAAAAACAGACTTTAAGCAGCCAGTCGCTCCCCCTGACCCGGGAGGAAGGTGCGCTTCCAGTGGCCCCTCTGGGGGCTGCGTGAGCAATAAATCGAAGGACACAGGTGCCGGGCTCAGGCAGAGCGAGGCGATCAAGCCTGGTGGCGACGACCAGCCGCACTGAGCGTCCTCTTGTGTCCCCACAGGTCATGCTGGCCCCGCTGGTCGCCATTGCGCTGAAGGTGTCCCAGCTGCAGGAGAGGACGGGCCGCACGGCGCCCACCGTCATCACCTAGGCGCACGGCCCCAGCCACGCCGCCCCTGCGGGGCTCGGCCACAAACCCCGGGCTCCTTAGGGTCTGACTTCTGCGCGTCCAGCTGTGGGTGCCCATCGGCCAGGCGCTGCCCTTCAGGCTGCCCGGGAAGCGACAGGCGTGCGTCAGCTCCGGTCTGGGTGGGCTCCGTCACACCGCAGCGTCAGGAGGCTGGGTGCCAGCCGGACGTGCCCACGAGTGACCCCACTGCCCTGTCCACCACTGACCCGAGATGCAGAGGGTGCCGTGGTCTGGTGCCTCCCCCCTTGGATTTCCTTGGCGCAAGATGTACTTGTTTCTGATTTCTGCCTTGTGGCAACATGATTCGCACAGGTGTTTGGGGTAATAAACAGGAGCTGCTACAGTGCCTCGTTCCTTTTCCTTTTTCTTAACGCAAGGCGCTGCTTTGACTTCAGGAGGGAGCGGACTTTGTCTCTTGTCTTGGAATCCGTGGGTAGCGGACTCGTTCCAGTGTCCTGGCCAGGACATGAGGTGTCTGTGTGTGAGAGTGCGAGGCCTTCCGCTCGGGAAGCAGAGTCCAAAGTCGGGGCAGGGTCACTGGGCTCTGGTCCTCCCGGCTGCACACCTCCCCTTGAGGCGGCCAGTGGGGCAAGCACGGGTGACTGGGAGAGCACACTGAGCAGGACGACGTGCCCCGACGGGACAGAGTGGAGGGCAGGAGCCAAGGGTGGCCATGGGCCTCTGGCCGGGAACCGAGCCGCTGGCCTCTTGTTTATCGTGGGGCACTCCTGTCCCACTCACAGGCACAGCGAGAGCTCGGCGTGCAGAGTTGGGAGCCCACAGACCTGAGCGTGAACCCACCTGAGAGCTAGGAGGCCTTTGGGTCCCCACCCATCTGTAAGACGGGGATGAAACAGCTCCAGCGCCCTGGGCTGGCGGGAGCTCCAGGTGAGGGACCCCCGAGGGGCGGCAGCTCAGGTCCTGCCCGGTGACGGGGCTCGGATGAGTCACGATTCTCCCATTTGCCGGTGTTTCGGTCTGTGAGCACCACGTCCCGAGCGTCACTGGGATGAGCCGGCCGGCTCTGCGCCCGCATGGTCCCTGCTGTGGGCGTCGGGCTGTGGCTGGGGGTTCCCGGGCTGTGCCGCACATGGTGTGTGGCCAGTACACCTGACCAGCAGGAGCACAGTGGCCAGGCCAGGGGCTGCCCACCTGTGGCTCAGCATTCCCGGCCATGCGGTGATGCAGGTTCCCTGAGCACCTCAGGTCACAGGTGACTTCCAGCCCTGGAGGAGGGTGGGTGCTGAGACCGAGCCCCAGCCCCACGTCCCCATCCTCTCTGGTGGCTTCTGAGCCCCTCCCCGCAGGGGAAGACAGTGGTGCCCACATCAGCACTGCACCTGCTCACAGCCTAAATGGTGCATTCAACACTGCGCTCCCTGCCCCGGAATGGGCAGGGAACAAGGGAGACCCGGAGCATCCCGCCCTGGAGGCCGGGGATGAAGGCAAGTAGGGGCAGCGTTGCCCTCAGCATCCGCACTTTCTGCACTCCTGTGTCAGTGTGGGCAGCCCCGGCAGGCGGCATCTTCCCGTTCAGACCCTGGTGTCTCCTCCCTGTGCCCCACCTGCCCCCGCCTTCCGCCCCTGCCCCAGCTCAGCCGCTGTCGCACAGCCGGCCGGGAAGAGGCCCTGGAGCCAGGGAGACTGGGGGTGCAGAGCACAGAGCTCCATGCGGGAGCACTTAGCAGGCCCAGCTCCCCCTCCGGCACCCAGAAGGAGGGCGAGGCGGGCTGTCTGGGGTGCAGGAGGACGGTGAGAAGTGCTGTCTGGGCAACTCTGGAGCCCCACGTCCCCGCCCTGGACACACACCTGGCTCCTGGGCTGGGCCAGGACCCGGAACGCAGAGGCCACCGTCCCCGTCCCCTCACCTCGGAGTCCTTGCCTGGCCCTGCAGGCCACTTGGGGCACCGCGTCCCTCTGTCCTGGGGACCGTGCTCTGGCCTTGCCATGTGGGGGACCCCACCTGCAGGGGATCGGGGTGGGAGCAGCTTCCTGCAGCACGGGGCCCCAGCTCAGCCGGGCCCCGCCCCCTGCTCCTGGGAGGACCCAGAGCCTGCCTCAGCCACAGCTCCCGCCCTCCCGCACCCACTGGGCGTCCTCCTCTGCCCGCCTGTGCCCTCCGCCGGCCTCGCTGTCCTCAGCGGTGCTCTCTGAGCCCATGCGCTCTGTTCTGGGAGCCGTGGCTGGTCTTGTGGCACTCGGTGCCTCCTCAGTGTCGCCTTCCTCTGCTGCCCAGGCTCCTGCGGGTGTGGATGCCACTGTCACCGGTGCCCACCAGGACCTGGAGCACAGCTGGCACCGAGTGGAAACCCCAAGAACTCGAGGCCTGCAGGCTCCTGGCGGAGGGCAGAGGCTTTGTTCTGCTGGCGCCTCTAAATGGGGGGACCAGTGTCCTTGTTTTACAGGTGACAGATGACTTGGTGGAGGCTCTCCAGGAATTCATTCACAAAGCTGTAGGGGCTGAGAACGCATCCAGGGAAGGGACGCCATGGTAGCCATGCCTGTAGTCCCTGCTACAGAGGGAGGCTGAGGCAGGAGGGTGTCTTGAGCCCAGAAGTTTGGAGCCAGCTTGGGCAACACAGTAAGACCCCCATCTCTTCAAAAAATTATTTTTAAATTTAAAATTTAAAAGACATTTCATTTCCCATTCCTGCAAAAATTAATCGGGGGTGCAGTTGAGGAAGAGATCTATAGAATACAGAAAGGGGTCACCTTTCTTCGCAGAGCAGAATCACCCACTGCTGTACGGTTGGAGCCCCTCTGCGTCCCTACTGTGTGTCAGGAAGTGTCCCAAGGCAGGCGTGTCACCACACAGGGTGGTCCGTGTTGCTGGAGCACATCTTGCGTGCGTCTGCCTGTGCCTCCACCTGTCTGTCTGTCTGCCCTGTGGGACTCTTGTGTCTGGTTCCCGAGAACCGGTCTCCTCAAGACAGGGCTGGCTTGTGTTAGGAGGGGACTTGAGCAGAGGCGGTCGCCGGGGCTGACCTGAAGGGTACGCCTCCCTCCCCACCACCCTTCCTTCTCCCCGCCCACCGAGATGTGGGCAGCCCGCCCCCCAGGCCCCTCTACCTGTTTCTGCCTCGGAGCCGGTGACCCTGGACTAAAAAGCGAGCCTCAAAAAAAGAAAAAAAAAAGTGAGCCTCTAAGACTCAGACGTTGGGCACAATGTCCTGGGGACAGGGAAGTGACCATGACCCCGCTGGGACGGTGCCGGTGGCAGTCCTCGGACAGCGCAGCCTCCTCTGCTGTAGCCAGTGCCTTGCAGCTGTTTACTGGGCACCAGGTGCAGCCCCACCTGCCGCAGGGGCTGCCGGGTGGGCGTGGGCGAAGGTGGTCCTGCAGCGGGCATCAGTCAGGTCTGCAGGCAGCAGAGCCACCTTTTCATCCCTGCAGCGGGCAAAGTGCCCCACTGTGTGGGCTCCGGGGCTCAGTGTGCCCCCTGCGCATCCCCAGGTAGCCTGGCAAGGGTCTTGCCTCAGTTTCCCTCCTGGCCTTCAGGGTCCTCCCTCAGAGGGCCCGCCTCTGTCTCCCAGGATGGCAAGCTCCGGGATGTCCCCGCCCCCCCGCCCTGCTGGAGTCGGAGCCATAGGGCTTTCCCGTCCTCTCAGACACCGCTGTGCTCAGCTGGTTTTCGGAGTCAGGCACCGGATTCCCACCTCAGGCCTCAGGCCTCCGCCAACTTTGCCCCCAGGCCTGGGTGGGGGAAGAGCCGGGCTCCTGGAGCACACCCAGAGAACGCCCTCTGGGATCGAGTGGGTGTGCAGGTCGGGGAGGCGTCCTGTACGGTAGTCCACATTCGCTGCCCCGGCCTGGTGTGCAGGTGGGTGGGGCCCTGGTGTCCCTGCGGCGTAAGTCGCTTCAGGGGAATAAAGCCCTTGGCAAGGCTGCTCCCCACTGCGCTGTCCTGTGGGGAAGTGAGCAGCACGAAGCACCCCAGCCCTGGCAGGGAAACTGCTACTGGGACCCCAAACTGGGGGAGAGGGAGGCAGAAGTCTGCAGGGCGGGGTGCTGTGAACCCGAAGGAAGGGGACTCCCGGGATGGACAGGTCGGGGCAGGGCGGCTTCCGTCTTGGGGCCCCGGTGACGTCCATGGGGTCCTCACAGGGAGAAGAGCTGTGGCGTCTGCCTAGGGCCCTCATGGGGGCTGCTGTGCGTCCTGGGGTCTCCGCACAGAAGCTGGGCTGTGTCTTCAGGGGCCTGGAGGGTAAGACGCACCCAGAAGCGATTGTAGAGTTACCAGCTTGGGATCTCAAGGCCCTGCAAGTGGAAAGAATCTGAACCCAGACCCATGGAAGTACTCCCATTTCCCAAGTCTCCTCTCCACCAGGGGCCGGGCCCTGGCGCCCGGTCACCTCTCCCACCCCTGCTCCGTCTATTTCAGCCACAGGCCTGTCCCCTTAGCCTTTCAACTACTACACCCCAAGTCCGGGGACTCTCCCAGGGGCTGGGCTTCCACTCCCACTGCACCCTCTGTTTCCTGTTTCCTCCGCGTCTTTGGAAGGTTCTCAGACTTCCTTGCATTTAAGGAGCCATTGCTGTGGTTTACGGAGCATTTCCAGGGACTCTCGGGTAGCTGGGAGAGGCCTCAGTCTGCCAGAATCTAAAGCCCTTTCTGCTCCATGCTCGCCCCTCCATTGCAGCCTCAACAAACGCAGTGAGAGCTTTACAAAGAAGATAAATCTTTGTTTTCACTTGCATAAAATACTTCAGTGGTTTCTAGTAGCTTTCACTTCACGATGACACTGCTTTGTAAATCCCACAAAATTTCCCGTTTTCTTCTTGATAATCAGCACCCCCTTTCCTGGGAGAGCCCCTCCATACTCCTTAGGACCCTGAGGACATCAGCCTCAGTCCTGCCCTCTCCTTTACTCACTCTCTTCCCCATTGGAGCTAGAGCGGTAAAAACACGGCTCCCTCTGGGCCAGTCATTGGACTGCGGTGGCTGTGGACATGGTGATTGGACCAGTGGGTAAGCACGTGACCCAACCTGAGCCAATCAGAATCCTCCTCTGATTTCCTTTTCTCCAAATAGGAGGTAGAAAGGCACCGTTCTCTCCCCTTTGGGTCACAGGTTACGAAGATGCAGGCCCGGTGAGTATCAGTGACTATTTTCCAACCAGATTGACAGAACCCGTCAGTGCAAGAAAGAATGAGGCCAGTAAATAAGAATCAGTTAGTTGAAAAGAAAACTTTAATTTCTGCGTCAGTGCTGGGGACTGCCCAGGGCCTCCTGCATGCTAAGCAGATGCCACCACGGAGCCGCGTCCTCAACCCCTAACAGTCTGAGCTCCTGGGTGCAGACTTTCCAGGTCAGGTCTACAAACCAACACATTGCTTTTTTGCTAC